GCTTCTGAGAGGGCGGGCGGCTTCTGAGCGCCTCCCCCCCCCCAGCTTCTGGGAGGCTTCCTTAGAAGCCCCAGGGCCATTCTACGAAGGCCCCTGCCTTCTAAGGAGGCCTCCAGGCCTCCCCCCTGGCGCCACCCCCTTTGTGCGCGCCGCCAACACGGAGCCGTCCGACGGGCTCCCCCCATAGGCCATAGGCTATACGTCGCTGCGGCGGCCGCCAGGCAGCGGCCCCCCCGCAGGAGGTGAGGACAATGACAGCTTGCTGCCGAAGGAACGTCGTCGTCGCGTCATCGCAGTCATCGACGTCGCGAGGATGGAAGGAGCGTGTGAGTGTGCGGTTGGGGGGGGGAGGGCAGGGGGAAGGTGGGAGGAGGTGTGGGTGTGGGTGTGCGGTGGGAGAAGTAGACGAGCGGGCGAGGGTGAGCGGGGGGGAGGTGGGTACGAAGTGCGAGTGCAGGAGGTCGTCGCCAAGCACGTCGCCGTCGTCGACGCCGTCGTCTTCGGAGTCTTTACGCGCTCGTGGGTGTTTTCTCGCGTGCCAGGACGGGCCCTGGGAGGGGCCCATAGGGGACCAGCTCCAAGCGGATCTCCGCAGTATGGAGGGAGGAAGCCACACGCAATCATGAACCTCCGGACGTCCGCGGTCACGCGCTCCCCAGACACCGGGCGCGTCGGCTTTTGTTCGATGCGCGCGTTCTGGAAATCCCGACCCCTCTGCCAGAGCCACCTGGGCGACGGAAGAAAAGGGGGTGGTTTGCGCGAACATCCCGCGCAAGCTGCTCGCGAAGGGGCGCGCGCAGATCTTCGACGATGGAGGTAGAGTGTTCGATCTGTGTGTTTCCCTCGACTTCGGCCCTGGGGGGCCCATGATGGGGCCCTGGGACCTTCAGAAATGGAGCTGGGGCGACAAGCTACCCCCCCTGGGGAAGCGACCAGGACCTCCCTGGGGCCGCGGGCTGAAGAAGTCAAATCGGCGGATGTCAGTCGGGGAAACATACGACTCGAGCACGCCGGAACTCGGATTTGACGAGCGCGTTCTAGGTTTTGACGGCCCAGTTTTCGTGGGAGGTCTGCGGCGGGAGCTCGCGTCAAGTTTCAGAGTAGGTCTCGTCATTTTCAGGATGGCCGCGTCAGGCCAGCCCGAGTCCCCCGAAACCGAGTCTTACGTCTCCCCGAAAAAGGGCCCTCGCCCGAGGAGGGGAGGGAGGCGGCCAAACTGTTTGGCCTTGCCCTCCTCCTCCTCCTCCTCCTCCTCCTCCTCCTCCCCCTCCTCCTCCCCCTCCTCCTCCTCCTCCTCCCCCTCCTCCTCCTCCTCCTCCGCCTCCTCCTCCTCCTCCTGCTCCTCGGGTCGCCTACAGCCCCAGGGGAAACCGTGCAGGGTGGGGTGTCCGCGGTTCGGTCGGTTCGGCTGCGCCGCCATGGACGGTGTGCGGTCCGTTCGGTCCGGCCAGCTGCGGGTGCCGTTGCTGCGCCGCGGCGCCCTCTGGGGTCCAGGGCTGCTCGTGGCCTGCCGAGTGATGGGCCGACTTTCCACCACCACTGGCATAGGTGGGAGAGGAAGGACGAGGAGGAGGAGGAGGCAGAGGAGGAGGCGAAGGAGGAGGAGGAGGAGGAGGAGGAGGAGGAGGAGGAGGAGGAGGAGAGGGAGGAGAGGGAGGACAGGGAGGAGAGGGAGGAGAGGGAGGAGAGGGAGGAGAGGGAGGAGAGGGAGGAGTGGAAGGAGGAGGAGGAGGAGGAGGAGCAGCAGCAGCAGCAGGAGGAGGAGGAGGAGAGGGAGGAGAGGGAGGAGAGGGAGAATGAGGAGGAGGAGGAGAAAAATAAGAAGAAGGAGGAGGAGAAGAAGAAGAAGAAGAGGAGGAGAAGAAGGCGGAGGAGGAGGAGGAGGAGGAGGAGGAGGACCTCCCCATCATCCCTCCTCCCCCGTCCTACCTGTGGTGGCGGTGGTGGAAAATCTGCCCGTCACCGCGCTCGGTCAGTTCTGGCTTCGCCGTCGGCTCGACCGGCTTTTTCGGTCGTGCCGTCGCCGGGCACGGCCGTGGCGGAAAAGAAAGATCCGCCTCGGTGCTCTTTGCCCAGGGCGTCGGAGGCCTGGGGCGCCCGCCGTCGTTGCCCCCGGGGTCCGAGGATGGGGCCCAGAGGCGCTTCCAGGTCGAGTCCGAAGGCGAAGTGTCAGCCAGCGTAGACCTCAAACTGTGGATGTGCAAGCTGTGTGGTGCAAGCTGGGCGGTGTAAGCTATGGGGTGCCGCGGCGAAACCTCGCCGGACCCACCCAGCGCACGAGGCGGCCACGGGCGGCAACGTGGAACATCCTCGCCAGAGCCATCCAGTTCCTGAGCGACATTAGCAAGAATCCCTCAGTGCAAGCACTGTTTGGGGAAGATCCGCATAGACATAAACGATCGGAGATCCGCTCGGATTTCTTGGGTCGGTGCTGGACTCCCCTCCTTGGCGGTCGCTCGGGGGCACCAAGGGTTCTCAGCCGGCCTGGGCGTTTCTGGGAAGGCACTTGGGGGACGTTGGCCCGGAGGCCAACCAGGCAAGCGCTAGAAGCGCCTGGGGGCACAGGAATTCATGCACATTAGTGGCCAAGGCCCCGAAGGACCCCACACTGCGAAAGAGATTCACATGTGTGTGTGAGCTTTGGGGCATTCCACTGCGTGCTGAAGGCACGGTGGGGGATATGACTTCGGACAGTTCGATCCAGGAACCTCTTGGGACTTTGCAGAGCAATGTTGGAGGACGTCGGGGCCCCCCTGGGGCCATCTTAGTGGGTACGGTACTCAATTCGCGCTGCCCCTCTGGAGCCAGAAAAATCGTTCCTCAGGATACTCTTGGGGCCGCTCTTGGTGGCCTGTGGGGTCACACTGCGGCAGCTATGAGTTCCATCTGGGGCTCTCTTGGGCGATATTGAAGCCAGTCTGAGGCCTCAGAACAAAGAGGTACCGAAAGGCGAGAAGGCCAAGAACGTCAGAAATGTCATGAAATTTGTGGGGTCGGCGTTTTGAGGGCATGCTCGGGAAGCTCCGAGGCCACTCGGAGCCGTCCTGATACTCCTGTGAGGCAAGTTGGAAGCCCTCCTCGAAGCAGCGTGGACCATCCTGCACAATATCGGAGGCCATCCTTGAACCAACGTGGACCAGCTTGCGCAACACTGCAGGCCATCCTTACTCGAGGCAGGCCCGAGGCCCTCCTCGAAGCAGCGTGGACCATCCTGCGCAATATCGGAGGCCATCCTTGAACCAACGTGGACCAGCTTGCGCAGCACTGCAGGCCATCCTTACTCGAGGCAGGCCCGAGGCCCTCGCGGAGCGCACGTGGACCACCCCTGGCGCAGCGTCGGAGGCCATTCCTGGGCATCTATCTGCAGGCATCTGGCAGCTGTTTGTGGGCCCTCGTGGAGCCATCCGGGGCCCCAAGAGGTGCCCTTGGTGAGCTCGGGCGCCCACTGAGATCGCCTTTTCGAGTGGGGAATGATAGGCTCGCTCGCGCCACGCCTGGCGTCCTGCCCCCATCCCACCCATCCCCTCACACTGTGCCTGGATCGGTTCCTGTCCGCCGAGTGGGGTGTTTTCGAGGACCTTGGTGCCCAAAAACAGACAGGGGGGGCCTGCACGGTGGAGAAGGAGGAGGAGGAGGAGGAGGAAAAGGAAAGGAGGTGGCGGGCGAGCAGGAGGAAGGGCAGGATCATGAGGAAGGAGCAGGAGCAGCAGCAGCAGCTGAAGCAGGAGGAGCAGGAGGACCAGGAGGACCAGGGGAAGGCGGAGGACGGAAAGGACGTGGACGGCAATGACGAGAAGCGAATCGGGTCCAGAAAGATTCGGCCCGCGCTGGGGGCGAGCGAAAGAGCCAATCTGCACAACAGGAACAAAGCGGCGATCCTGCAATGTGCAGCGACGCCGCAGCGGAAGCAGCATCTTCGAAGGACCGAGGGCGGGCCGATGTCAAAAAAACATGTAAGTTCAGCAATCCTTGAAGTCCTGTGTGCGGGGGGGGGATTCGCGAAAGAGTACCAGGGGAGAGGAGACGGATATTCACATCACGCGAGGCGCAGCCGTGCCACATTAAAAGCAGACACCCTGCCCACTACACTCATCCCATCCCATTGCTCTGAATGTGCTTCTATCCGCCGACTGGGGTGGTCTACATGAGCTGAACCCAACAAAGACCCCATCGTGTGATTCGGGATCAGAAAGGGTAGCTTTGCACATTGGGGCGAAAATGAGTAGATGAAAGTGGCGGAGGAGCAGGGCGAAGAGCGGGACAGTGAGGAAGGAGGACGAGAAGTTGCAGTAGGAGTAGACGCAGCAGGATGATCAAGGGAAGGCGGAGGAGGATAAAGGAGGGGGCCGGCAACAACGAGAAGCGAATCGGATCCAGAAATTTGACCCGCGCTGGGAGGGCGAGAGCACAAATCCGAATGACGGGAGCACAGCGGCAATGTTGAAATTCGGCCAGCACTGAGGCGAGAGCACCGTGTGTGAGTGATTGCTCAGATATGACGCCCGACGCACAGGAAAACGTGAGATCCGTTGCACGAACAATTATATGTGGTAGGGGTCGCCCCCGTCCAAAACAGCATCAGGGAAGAGGGGAGAAAGTATTCAATCATCTCACACGCTTCTCGCCCCCCGCAAGCGGGGCTCAGTGGATCTTATGTAAGAATGTTGATCTCGTGACCATTGTGTTTCGAGCACCCAGCCTTGTGTCAAACAGCCAAATGGTTGTCCTTGACATGTGTTGCTATGTACTCGGACGAATACCACTCGCAGGCGGGACTGCGACCGACACTAAAGCAAGAGCACCACTCAGCAAACATGAAAGCCTGTTCTGTTTTCGCATACGGTGATCGGCGATGGCTTGCAAGGCGCCTTGCAGAGCTCACGACAATAACCACGAGCCCTTCAAGTGCAGGAAACGATCGGGGAAAACATCGGTGTGTTTGGCGCTCCGAGGGCCACCAAGCACCAGAGGGCGGGGACGGGTTACTTCAGAAGGTGGCGGGCTCCGAAGGCTCCATGGCATGTTGGCTCAAGCTGCGTGCTTTTTTTCCCAGAGTTGTGACCGCGGGGAGCGGGACGACTCGAATGGATCGAAGCAGGGCCGGACCCATGGTTGAATTCGTTGTCGGCCTCTGGATGGAGCATTGCGACTTCATGTGGGTTGCCCTCGCTGTGATCCTCGTCGGCGTCTTCGTGCTTTCGCGAACCAGAGGCCTCGGTGGAAGCGGCTCTGCCGCGCCAGGCGCGCCGGGCATCACAGTGCAGGATTACCCTCAGCTCGGGATACCGGAGCACCCTCTCATGGAAGCTGCCCTCGATCCCACTTCGGGTCTGTTGCGCAGCAATCCAGGTGAGCCCATCCCTTTCGAGAGCGAACTGTGCTCTGGCACGTTCATGACCTTCCACTCGCCGACGTGTGCTGGCCCTGAGAGCGCGGGTAATCTAGACTTCCGCGATTACTTCAAGGGCAAGAAGCGACTGTGGGAGTTCAGGTTGTCCATCCGTTTCAAGCAACCGCCGCCTGTGGGGGCAGAGATGTTCCTAGGCATAGAACTCGAGAAATACGTGCCCATGAACGGGGCCACCAAGAGAGTGGTCGCACTGATCGTCTCGGCGATACGGAAAGGCTTGGGCTCAGTCTATCATACGTTCGGGGACGATCCTGACGTCGTCCATGGCGAGTGCGAGAAGCCCGCGTTTGTGTTCCCTCTGTGGGCATTTGACCAGTTCATCGAGACGCCTGAAGGAGAGGAGCCCCCAAGTCTTACGGACGTGCACTTTCCCGAAATGGGATGCACGAGGTCTCGACGTGTCAAACAGTACATCAAGGAGATGGAGGCCCTCCAACTGAATTTCAGAGTGGGCCCCTGTTATACGTTTGCCTTGTGGGGCCCCGCTCGCTTTGCGGACGCGATCAACTGGCAGCTCGTGGGCATTCCCCTGGTCACGCCGTTCGACCTCGCCGGGGTCGCTGGATCGCCCCCCGTGCACGCGATGGTATACTCGCTGGCCCCGTCCAGCGACCCGCGGGATGATCGGCACCTGGACTCGCGCAAGCGCCACTGCTTCCGCATAGCCTTCTGGAGCTCCAACCGGAGGCCTCCCCGCGACCGCTTCGAGTCCCTGACGGGGGCGAGCGCTGCCCGCAGGGAGGCCACGGCAGATGTCCCGCGCCGGCCCAGAGAGCAGGGGCTGCATGAGCGCCTGGCCCGAATGGGAAAGGCATTCGAGGAGGCCATCGCGGGCTCCTTGTGCTGCACGCGCACGCCCCGCAAGGCGGCGTGGGTTGCCGCGTGACCGGGTTCTGCCCGCGCCGTCTGCGGGGCGTGGGCCGCCCCTCGGCCTCGCAGGCTTAAGTCAGGCATGTCCCACTAGAGGAGGACTTTTCAAGAATAGTCAAAAGATAGGCTGGTGACGAGTTTTCGTGTTCGGTTGGCTACTTATATATATATATATATATATATATATATATATATATATATATATATATATATCAGAGGTGAGGGGGTGAGATCGAAGTGGAACGGAGAGCCCCCCTACCGAGAAATCGGTTTCGGTTTCGTGTTCGTGCGTGCCGTGCGTGCGGGCGAGTCGAAGCTGCGTAGGCGGGCGAGAAATGTCCCGCCTCTGGCTGAGGCGCGGCCGGACCAAAAGTCTCCCTTCTGGCAACCGGTGCCGCGCGGTGTCCCGCCAGTGTCCCGTCGGTGTCCCGATGATGATGATGATGATGATGATGATGATGATGATGATGTTGATGATGATGATGATGATGATGATGATGATGATGATGACGATGACGATGACGATGACGATGACGATGACGATGTTGATGAAGTTGATGATGATGATGATGATGATGGCCATGGTGTTGATGATGATGTTGATTTTGATGTTGCTGGTGATGATGATGGTGCCCCGATGAGGATGACGAAGATGGTGGTGATCATGATGATGTTGATGATGATGAGACGATGAGACGATGATGGTGATGAAGATGATGATGATGATGGTGCCCCGATAATCATGATGAGGATGTGATGACCATTATGATGATGTCCCGATGATGAGATGTTGATGATGATGACTTTGATGGTGTCCCGATGGTGATGATGTTGATGATGAGAACGATGATGAAGTGATGATGATGGTTTTGATGGGGGCGGCCCGATGATGAGAATGACGATGCTGATGATGTCGATGATAAAGATGATGGTGGCCATGGTGGTGATGATGGTGTCCCGATGATGATGGTGATGTTTATGATGCTGATGTTGCTGATGATGATGATGGTTTCCCGATGATGATTATGTTGATGTTTGTGTATGATGATGATGATGTAATGATGATGGTGGTGGTGTTCCGATGATGATGATGGTGCCCCCATGATGGTGATGAAGATGATGATGATGGTGGCCTGATCATGGTGGTGATGGTGATGATGATGGTGTCCCGATGATGATGATGTTGATGGTGCTGATGTTGCTGATGATGATGATGGTGTCCCGATGATGATGAGTATGTTGATGATGATCCTGATGTTGTTGGTGATGAGATGATGAGGCGCTGATGATGAAGATGCTGATGATGATGGTGTTCCGATGATGATGAAGGTGATGATGATGCTCTTGGTGGTGATGATGATGATGACGATGACGATGATGGTTCCCGATGATGACGATGGTGATGATGAGGACGATGGTGAGGTGGTGATGATGATTTTGATGGTGGTGGTCCGATGGTGATGATGCTGATGTTGATGATGATGATGGTGTCCCGATGATGACGATGTCGATGTTGATGATGCTGATAATGATGATGATGATGATGGTGTCCCGATGATGATGATGTTGATCCTGATGATGTTGCCGATGATGATGACGCTGGTGCCCCAATGATGATGATGATGTTAATGATGTTGTTCATGATGATGATGCGACGATGATGAGTGTGATGATGGTGGTGTGCCGATGATGATGATGCTGATGATTATGATGGTGGCGATGATGGTGTCCCGATGATGGGGGTGATGATGCTGAGGGTGATGATGATGGCCATGGTGGTGATGATGATGGTGTCCCGATGGCGATGATGATGATAATGCTGATGTTATTGATGATGATGGTGTCCAGATGATGCTGATGATGCTGATGATGATGAGATGATGATGAAGATGATGAAGATGATGATGATTGTGCCCCAAAGATGATGATGATGAGTTTGATGATGATGTTGTTGATGATGGTGATGGTGATGGTGATGGTGATGCTGGTGTCCCGCTGATAATGGTGATGTTGATGATGAGGAGGACGACGATGGTGTCCGATGATGATGATGATGTTGATGATTGGGATGAAGATGAGGTGATGATGATTTTGATGCTAGTGCCCCGATTATGATCATGATGCTGATGTTGATGATGATGACAATGATGATGATGATGGTGCCCCGATGGTGACGATGATGATGGTGATGATGATGATGGCAACGATGATGATGGTGTTCCGATGATGATGTTGGTGGTGATGGTGTTGCTGATGATGATAGTGTCCCGGTGATGAGTATGTTGACGATGTTGTTCATGACGATGATGAGATGATGATGATGATGATGATGATGATGATGGTGGTGTTCCGATGCTGATGACGGCGCCCTGATGATGATGATGATGTGAATGATGATGATGTTGACGAGGATGGTGTCCCGATGATGTTGATGATGATGATGTTGATGATGCTGGTGATGAGGTGATGATGATAGTGTCCCGATGATGATGATGATGTTGTCGATGACGTTGATGACGATGGTGTCGATGATGTTGATGGTGACGTTGATTACGAGACCCATTGTTATATCGATAGTGAGATCGGTAGTGAGACCGAATGTGAGATATATTGTGAGATCGATAGTGAGATCGATAGTGAAATCGATTGTGAGATCCATAGTCATGTCGATTATGGGATCGATCGAATGAAACAGATCGAGTGGTATCGATTGCGAGATCCATCGAGTGAGATCGATCGAGCGAGACCGATTGTGAGATCGATAGTAAGAACGATAGTGAGACCGATCGAGTGAGACGTTGGTTCCTCCCCACCCCCCGAACCTCCTTATCACCCGAAGGGTGGTCGTATAGGTATACATATGTCTATATGTATACGTACATATATACTTACAAACAGACATACATACAAACATATAAGGGGGAAGAGTGGGAGGAGCAGAAGGAGGAGGGGGAGGGGGAGGGACAGAGAGAGAGGACAGAGAGTGAGAGAGAGTGAGAGAGAGTGAGAGAGAGAGCGAGAGAGAGAGAGAGCGAAAGACAGAGAGAGAGAGAGAGAGAAAAAAAAAAAAAAAAAAAAAAAAAAAAAAATGGGCCAGGGGGTTCTGGGGGATCGTATCTATATATATATATATGTATATACATAATAAATAAATAAATATGTCTTGGCTGGGTTCTATTTGTCTTCGAAAATCCGCCTGTAGGAGGACATACCCGACCGAGAATCGCAGGCCAGGGGGGGGAGAGGGCGCGCGCGCCCGAGGGTGCCTGTCGGGCCGAGCGGGCGGCAGCACGGTGGCAGTACAGGCCAGCGTATGCTGCACGCTGCTCCTTGCCGCATGCATGCTGTGTGTTTCGAGCAGGGGCGAGGCGCCCTGGCCTGCCTGGAGGCCCACCGAGGCATGCTCTCAGAGCCTCTTTGCGATCTGCACGACTTGTTCTTCGAGCATGTCTGGCCGAGGCTGCCCTGTTGTTTGGCACCTCGGGCTTGCGTCGTGAGAACACTGCTGTTGCTCTTAGAACATTTGTTGGTTCTAAGAGCATGTCGAGGTAGGCCTATAGGAATGCCGGGACGGTCGATCCCTGCTCAAATTCTGTTCCGAGCTGATGCACCTGATCGCGTTGGCCTCCGAACTGAATTCTTATAATTTCCATGCAGTTGCCCGCGCTCGGAGCAGAATTGTTCCGCGTAGCGCGGCAACTTGGACAATGATCTCTAAGCAGAGCCGTTGAGGCAGCGCTCTTTGAGGCAGCACGTTCCACTGTCGTCATTCATGTCAGTTTCGAGTCACCAGAAAAATGTATGTGAGAGCTGCTTTAAGATAGGGAGCTGGAGTCGATAACAATTTCGTCCGGTGCCGCTCAATACCCAAGACAATATCGAGAGACGCCAAGATAGCCGCAAGAGATCCCACGAGATCCCGGCAAATTTCCACGACATTCCCTCTGAGTTGTCCAGCATGTACCAAGTATCAAAGAGTGTGCTTATGATGTTCGCTCGTTTCACACGCTGTTCCGTTAGGCAGCCCGCAGCCATTGGTTGGTTGGTTGGTCGGTGGGTTGAGCGGTCGGCTATTAGGCCGGATGCCATAAGTAGTGGCTCGTTGGCTGGTTAACTATATGTGAGGTTGGTAGGCGCGGCAAACCATGGCGGGGACATCGGTCGCAGGTGCCTGATCTTGCAGTGCTCCCCCTCCTCCAGCGTGCAAAAGCTTGGTGCACGTTGGGTATTCAAGGTCTATAATCGGATGGTCCCCAGCAGGAACCACAGGGCGCCGGGCGATCGGCTTTCGACGGAGATCTGAGGGGTCGCCGTGGCGAGGGACCAACAGCACGGGATAGTGATGTAAGTGGGGCCGTGGCGTAATCGACTCCTCCTCCTCCGCGGCCTCCTCCTCCTCTTCCTTCTCCTCCTCCTCCTCTTCCTCCTCCTCCTCCGCCTCCCCCTCAAGGGTGATTCAAAGGGGCTCCGCGGGGCGTTGGGTCCAGAGCGTTCTGAGCGGGGGCGGATTCTAGTACCCCCCCCCTTCCCTCACCGCCAGGCCTACGAGCACGTCTAGCGTTATCTATCAGGAAGAGGGAAGTAGCTAGGGCCCAGCGAGGAGCAAGGAAGGGCACGCAGATGAGGAAAAGAGAGAGAGAGAAAGAAAGAAAGAAAGAAAGAAAGAAAGAAAGAGGGAACGGGGAGGGTGCAAGGGGAGGAGAAGGAGGAGGAGGAGGAGAAAGAAGAGAAGGAGGAGGAAGAGGAGGAGGAGGAGGAGCAGGATGAGGAGGAGGAGCCAGGGTCGAGCGGGAGGCGAGGAGCACGAGGGGGGGGGGGAAGTGAACAGGAGAAGGGAAGAGGCGCGAGGAGGACGCAGGAGGAGAAGGAGGAGGAAGAGGAGGAGGAGGAGGAGGAGGAGGAGGAGGAGGAGGCGGCAAGAGGAGGAGGATGAGGAGAGGCGGAGGCGGGCGGAGAGGCAGGAGGAGGAGGCAGGCGTGGACACACACACACACATATATATATACACAAACAAACAAATAACAAACAACTTAAAATAACAAACAAAACAAAGAAAACAAAAAAAAGGGAGAGAGAGAGAGAGAGAGGCGGCCGCCGCGGCGTCGGCGGCAGGGCGCCCGCGGCGGCCCGCGGGGGGCGGCCAGGCCCTGCAGCGGGGCACGCACGGCCAGCAGAAGCGCGTGGAGGCCCGCGTCGTCGACGCCTCGCAGGCCCCGCCAGGGCGGCGCGCGCCGCCTCTCCCAAGGGGGGGCAGGGGCCGGAGGCTCTGGGGATCGCCGCGGAGGGTCCTCCTCCTTCTCCCCCCTCCTCCTCCCCCTCCTCTCCTCCCCTCCTCCTCCTCCTCCTCCTCCTCCTCCTCCTCCTCCTCCTCCTCACTCCTCCTCCTCCTCCTCCTCCTCTTCTCCTCCTCCTCCTCCTCCTCCTCCTCCTCCTCCTCCTCCTCCTCCTCCTCCTCCTCCTCCTACCCTGCTCCTCTCTCCTCCCTCCCTCCTCCTTCCTCCCCTCCTCCTCCTCCTCCTCCTCCTCCTCTCCCCTCCTCCTCCTCCTGCTCCTGCTCCTCCTCCTCCTCCTCGCTCCTCCTCCTTCCTCCTCCTCCTCCTCCTCCTCCTCCTCCTCCTCCTCCTCCTCCTCCTCCTCCGGTGCGGAGCGGAGGAGTCGAGCAGTGACGAGGCGTCTTTTGGTTTGCCCGGAGGCCTACCCACAAAAATGTCCTGAGAGCCTTCTGTGGTCTACACGACGTGTCCCAAGGAGCATGTTTGGCCGAGGCTGCCCTGTTTGAATGCCTCGGGTTTCCGTTCCAAGAACGTCGTTTGTGCTGTTAGAGCATGTCTGGGTTCTTAGGCCCCATATCGGGAGCCGGGACGGTCGGTCCCTGCTCGAATGGGGGGGCCATGAGCGGATGCCCATGCCAAGAAAGACCCTGCTTGCCTCCAGGGTGCCCTGTGTTTCCTGGGTTTCGATGGCTATGCCATGGAAAGCGCGGCTTTTCCCCACACCAAAACTATCAAAGGACGCCCTCGGGTCTCAGGGTTGGGATTATTGTGGAAGGTTTCGTGTGGTCGAGCCCATACTGTATAGGGATCGCCGCGGGGGGGGGGCGGAGTGGAGGAGAGGGCTACGAGCGGATACCCATGCCAAGAAACACCCTGCTTGCCTCCAGGGTGCCCTGGGTTTCCTGGGTTTCGATGGTTCTGCGATGGAAAAGGCGACGTTCCCACACCAAAACTATCAAAAGACGCCCTGGGGTCTCAGGGTGGGTTTTCACGTGGTAGGTTTCTTGAGGTCGAGCTCCTATTGCATGGGGATCACCGTGGGGGGTGCTGAGTGGACGAGAGGGCTACGAGCGGATATAAGGTCGTAATGTCGGGCCCAACCAGGCTTCTAAGTGGGCGACGAGTGCCACATGCTGCGAAGGGTGTGCAAATATCCTATCCAACGGGGCTCCGCCCGCTTGGTGGAGTGGCAACCCCCTTTCAGCCAATCAGGGCAATTGCAACCCGTGTATATGCCAGGATGGGGCCTGGTAGAATTACCTTACCGTCCGCTCATAACCCCCCTCTCCACTCATCAACCCCCGCGGCGATCCCAGCAGCGACCTCCAATGAGTTGAACAGCGGCTTTCGGACGTTTCCGTCGGTTCTTCTGGGCTCCTCGCTTCGGAATGCCTGACAGCAGCTGCGCCCCGCTGGGAGCGTTCGAGTTGTGCCCAGATCGCCCCGATGGGCCGCAGAAGGCTGGAGCTGCGGTCCGAAAACCACCTCGAACTCGAAGCTCGCGCAACGGGGGTCAGTGTTCATGGGGGTCCGGAGCTGGTCGCCTCTCCTCGGGGCTGGACCCACTCGCGACGTGAAACATTCAGAACGACGTTCACCAGGCCTTTCGGCGGGGGGGCGGGCGAGTGGCGGGGTGGCTCTCCTCCCCCCCTCTTCCTCCTCCTCCT